GGTCTTTCCTTTTAAACTTTCTACAAATAAGAAACAGTAACACTTTATTTTTTCTTTGAATTACCTACCATAACCAAGGCACATTATTGAGAAATTGTTCAAGATATTGTTTTTGTCATCTTACACCTTTTAATGAAGATGGAAACATTGACAGGGAAATAGTTTTGAACAAAGAAGTTTTGTAAAGAGTGCGAATGGTAGTGTGATGTAAAATTACTCATGCTAGAAATTTTCATAAAAGTGACCTGAAAAACGGCACTAACTTGGTAACCCATGGCCCAATGAAGTTTCGTAAAGAGTGCGACTGTGTGGTGATATGTAAAATTACTCATGCTAGAAAATTTCATAAAAGTAATCCGAAAAACAGCACTAACTCGGTAACCTGTGGCCCAATTATAACGAAACCTGTTTTATTCTGTTTCTGTTCTCATTTCATTACAAATATGGTGCTATTGTGTACCGTTTTTGCTGTATTTAATTACAGACAAGCAAGCAAACAATCTCAGAGTTTTTGTAATATATAGATTGTATTAAGTTAAGAGAAAAGCTAATTTTAATTTTTTTCCCCCATTTTAGATTGCCAGTTAAGAGGTAGTTATGGGAATGCTACCCTGTCTAATCAGCCTGATTACTATTCTACCCAACCTTTCGGTAGTAACCCCCCAACACCACCAGCGTCTCTTCCTCCTACTCCTCCACCTGTAAGGGGTTATTATTATCAAGAATTTAACAGACCAAGAGGTGTGTCTTCATCAAATTTTAAGAAATTATAAGAAAAATTTCGAGTTTACTTAAATATGATAAAATGTATTATAAGAATGTAGGGTGATTTACATGAAACACTTTTCTATTGTTAAACTCTGTACGAATGCTCATTAATTCAATTGCAAACTTGCACATCCAAGAAATAAGCCATTGCTTGAAAGATATCAGCATGCTAAAATAAATTAGGTTTTATAATCACTAGCAACTAAAGTACTAGAAATTATTATATCCTGTTACTATACATTGTTTATTTTCTAATTTTTATTATTATTTTGACAAATTTAATATCCAGACCTAAATTTATAAAATTTTAATTTTCACCAATTTAGTTTATTATATATTTGACAATGTGCCATGAAGAAAAATTGAAATTCAAGATTGATATAATTGTGTTAAGAAATATTTAAAACATTTATCAATTAATTACATATATAAGACTGTGCAATAACTCAAAATTTAACCTAAATTCTTTGTGAGTGTTTAAAGTTTGATAGTTTAAGCTATAACAAGTTTGTTTTTATTTCATCCATTCTTCCTCTCCCGTGGACAAGAGACGATGTTTGTGATTTAATTTTACGTTTCGTATGGTTATGATTGATATAACTTGATAATGAAGGTATTATCAGCTCATATCATGATTTTTTTAGATCAACCTTGTGTGGACATTCCGGCATCTTTACCAACACCACCATTGTATCTCGATCCCCAGAGAAATGTCAGGTTAGTTTTATAGACCTTGATCAGGTATAGAAAAAAGCATTATGCATGAAAGTTTTGTAATAATTATTCTCCTGATATTGTTATTATATATAAATATAATTTATATTTAAAAGGCATCAGTTAATAAACCTCTTCTATTTAGCTGAATAATGCTGTCAGGGACTGAATAAAACAGGTTATCTCATAGGCACAACAACAACTTGCATACCTGCCAACTGTTCTGATTTTTTGTAATTCAGTTCCTTATATTTGCAAATACTGTTTGTTAAAACTGTCAAAATTTAAAAAAAACCTTAAAGGTCAGTGTTTCTGTTTGATTTGTAAATTGAACATACGTAAAAATGACAAATAAAGTTAAATGATTGGTGCAATCATTTTCTCAATGATTGTACATGCTCTTATTAAAGTTGATCTCCTGAAGTCAACATTATGAGTTTATACAATACAGAACTTCTGCAGGGGTAAACAAAGGCAAAAAAACATGAATCTGGGAATTCTCTTCAGAAGTTCTCTTTATTCTTGAAAATGTTCTTATGTTAAATTATATCTGTTTGAAAGTACAAAAATGTTCTTGTGTGATAAGGCATAAAAAAAAGTTAGTTAGGTCTAGCAAGTATATTAGATGACTACAAAATATTCCAATGATCCAAATTTTTACTTATTGAATATTATTGTTAGGTTTATTACACCAGGCAACAAATATAATTTTCTCTGCTACAAGAAGAAATGCAATTGTTTCCGAGTAATTTGACAATGCTGATTCTAAAAATTGTGTTGAATATTACTGATCATCTCTAGTTTTTGAGTTATGATAAATTTCTTCAAAATATTCTTGTATACCATGAAAATAACTTTTTCTTTAATAGCTTTATTTATGCCTTGAAAATTGTATTTAAAAATGTTCTAAAACAATACATAATAGCAATGCCAGTTTATAAAAGCAATGAGTATAATAAGATTATATACTGAAAATACATTCAGGCTATGTTGAAAACTTTCATCATGATATTATTTTTGATTAAAAAATATTTGCTTGACTTGTAACGTCTTTTGTGTGTGTTCTCAGTTTCATGCTGTAAGAACCAACAGTAATCTCCCATCATTGTAGGATTCTGTTGTCCTTGATATTGTTGTTCCATTATAGAAATATCTTGGTGGAAGTATTCACCATGCTCACTGCTCATTGCACTTAGATCATTTGGAAAGAAGTCTAAATGGGAGTGTAAGAAATGCATCGTTAGTGACATCCTAGACCCCATTTTCTTGTTTTTCTCAAACATATTATCAATCATCACAGCATAGTTTTTATCTCTGTGATTTCCTTAGAAATTTTTGACAACGAATTTTAATGATTTCCAGGCAGCAAGTTCTTTCTGATTGACTACTGTTTCAAAATCATTAGCCATCAATATTTCTCGAATCTGTGGCCCAACAAAGATACCTCCTTTCTATTTTGTTTCACTGATTTTTGGAAACTTCTTAAAAGATATCTGAAACCATTACCATCTTTGTTCATTACTTTTACAAAACTTTTCATGAGTCCCAGTTTAACCTGAAGTGGAACCAGAAAAACATTGTGAGGATTCACTAAGGGTTGATACTAGATCTGTTTCCTTGGTATGTAATTCTCTCTCATTTCTTCTTTTTGAAATGATTTTCATCATCTCTGCTATCCCGGAGACACAAAAAGCAACAATGTTTGGTATACCCACTCTGTAGGCCTAGCGGGAGTGTAATAACTTTTAGATCACCACATATGTTCCACCTATGGTGAATCATATTTGATGGTCTCAAGTATAACCTGCTTTGATAAGTTTCTTTCATGTTCATAACATGAGCAGAAGAACAGCTTTTAGACTAATTTTAGATGAGTTGTTAAAAAATCTGCATTCTTGAGGATGATGTTCAGTACCCAATTCTTCCATTAGTGCATCAACACTTGTACAGAAACACAAAGTATCTTGCATGCTGTAGTGAGAGGCAAAGACTTTGATGGTGACTTCAGTAAATTGAAACTCTTTTTTCTGGGCCTAATAAATTCCATTGCTGTAAACAAGAGCCAAAACGTTTCCCATGTTGCTTTTCTTGTGTGATCAGATGATGCAGTTTATGTTGATGTCCAGCAGGTAATAGAATTACTACATGAAGAGCATAAAAATGATTCATTGTCTTCCATGCAGAATAACACTTCTGTTCCTCAATTCTCTGGTGGATGTGGCACTGGAAAATTATCCCCATGAGGTACTGGTTTCATTGCAGATGCAGTATTTGGATATTTAATGTATGGTTTACTTTTTCCTTAATATCCAGAAACATTAGTCATGCATAAATTACAGTCAGTTAGTTAGTTTTTGAGGATTTCAGGTCATATCATGGGAACTGCAAATGACATACTTGCTCTCTTCTTACTCAGCCATTGTGTCAAGCCAGATGTGCAAACTGTACAACACACATGTGGAGCCCAATATTTTTCTTGTTCACCAATTTTACACACAAAATAGTGGTAGTAAGCTACTTTTACCTTGTTTGTAATGTTTCACCTTCGTCAAAGTGTTATATATTTTTCCACAAATTTAGCAGAAACTGTTTGGGTGATTTTTGCACTTTTGGAATTTATTGAACTGGAGGCAACCAGCATTTCAAATGATTTTCTAAAAAATATAAATGAATTTATGTTTATAGAACTAGAGTTTAAAAGATTTTAAAAAACAAAATGTTGAAGAATTTGATAATTTTGTGGGAATGATACGAGGAAGAAGATTTGGCTTCATTTTGACTGTGTGAACAGGTGAGTGTGGGAATGAAGCAAAAGTGGTGCAATTTGTTACAATTATATTGATAAAAAATAGAATATATGGTCAATATATTTGGAATTTTACCCATTACAACTGTCCAAATAAATGGTTTCACAGTGTAAATCTGTTGTACTGAGTTGATTGCATGGTATTTCATATAGTGCTGATAAAATATTGAGATATTACAATAACTCGAAACCTAGAGGTGCTGGACAAATTCTGACTACATTTTTGTAATCAGCACCATAAAATTACCCCTGAAACTCAACTTCCAGTAGCAACTTTTGTTGTCCAGTGCTATATTCAAACAATACACAGAAATAAAAAACTATATCAGGTATCAGTTGATCTCTGTTAATAATATTGTTAAAAAAATCATGATTCCTTCTTGACAGATAGTTGAGATACTGTCTATAAAGATGCAGCTCCAAATCACCAATGAATCATTGTCTCTTTTCTTTTTTCTTTTTTTTTTGGAAAGAGAGAGAGATGTATTTTTATGATTCATAGCTGAAAATGGTGAATATTTCAATCAGCAAAGTAGAGTATCAATATAAATATGTCATTGATTATCAATCAAGGTGAAACTGACTGAATCTATGTAGAATGATACTTTCTTATAAATAGTAAAAATAAAATATTAAAATTCTAAGATGAAAGGAAGTATTTTAGTATGTTTTTCAAACAGTTTCTAACAAAAAACTTTGTTATAGACTGTGTTCAGTAAGTTTGTACTAAGTTTCCTGCGATTTGATTATTACTGTTTCTATTGTGAGTAGAGAAAAAATATACATATGTATTCAGTGACACCCCTCTGGATTAAAAGAATGTAGTAAATTTTTTAATATATGATAATTTAAACATTTTTAGGGATGCTGAGTCTCCAGACACCATTATTTCTTCTTCTTCACCTGAATGTGGTTTCATTGAACCTCCAACCAAATTCCCAGGGCTGAGACTGATAGATAGTGATGAGAGCTCCAATGGCGAGAGAGTTATTTATTCCCCTACTGTCCCTATTGTAGCTCCTATTCCAATAAGAGGTGTGTAATTAATGTAATTAGTCTGATACACACACACACACACACAAAGAGGTGTAAACAAACTATGAGGAAGTAGTTCAATGATTTATGATATATTGTGTGAAGTTCGTTTTTTACACTATGGTATATTATTACAGAAGTTAATTTCAGCTGAGAAAATATGCATGTCCTTATAAGTTTTTGCTAATCAGAAAATTATTTTTCTTAAAAGTGAAAGTTATTTCATTTCATGCATATGATAACATAAAGCGTACTTCAAAGTAATATGTAGGTGCTTGAAGTGTCATAAAAATGGTAATGCTTAAACTTACTTAGAAATATCTCAGTATGAAAAAATATATATTATATTTGTATTCCACACTTGGATTTTTTTAAGGACTCTTCTTGACTCAAGAAAAAAATTGGTTGGCATCAATAAAACGAACAAATCTAAAGTTCAAATTTTTCAAATGCTGCTTCAGATTTAGCTATTATTAAAAACAACATAGAAGAGTCAGATGTTTTGTTTTTTTTTAAAAGCTGTGTCTAGTATTCATGATGGACCACCAACCCCAACATCAGAAAATGAAGAAGAAAAGGTGAGTTTCTTGAGAGCATAGCATTTAGAGCTTTGTAATACATCACGTATTTTTCATCTCAGATAAAAAAAATTTTGTACGATTTCTGATGAATTCTCTATAGTTTAAGGAAGATTTGTCTTCCTTGATAATTTTTAAAGTACTTTAACCCTTGTTAATTAAATGTATCTTGATGTTTAATGAATTTTGTTATTTAAATATGTCCTGCAGATAGATATGAAAGTAAAAGGTTTTGAAAAATAGGTAATATTTGAAATTTATTACTTATAATCATAATTACAAAAAAAACGTTTCATTTTAAACTGAAAATGATGTTTGATACTACAGTCAAGTGTAGAGAAGAAGAATAGTAAAGGTGAATATAGGATTTGCAATGGTTTTAGTGGCTATCTTTGTTGAGTTCACCAGGAATAGTAATTTCATAAAAGAAAATTTTAATGTAACTGAGGTGGACTTTTTAATAATTGAATGATTTGTGGGAATTTTAATCATTACTATGACATTAAAATTTTATTTCAGGAAAGTTTCATTGGTAATAACTTCTAATTGATATATTTGAATATTTTAATTATATTTGTGGCATGAGCACATACAAAATGAGTTAATGTTTTGAACCATTTCATATTGTTTTATTTAACAATATATTTTCAAAGAAAGATTGTATAAAATTACTCATTTTCAGGATAAAGAGAATGTAATAAAGGCAGAACATCGGTCTGAGATGTTTGCCACCAAAACAAAAATGTTAGGGTTAGGTGGACATCCTGCTCCACTTAAAGATTCTGGTAATGTGGCAGTTACTTTGACTCTGTCATCATCTGCATCAGATGATATTCGTGGAGTTCTTAATGCATTAGCAGACTTATTAAAGATACCTCCTCCAGCCACTTATGATATTGTTGAGCGAACTGCCACACCTCCTAGTCAGAAACTTGGACTGTATAAAAAAGGTATTGAATCTTTAGATTTTGTGATTTTGTTTTAATTAAAACTATTGTGTGTGTGTAATGGTATGGTAGTACATAAGTTAGAAATGTAAAATAGATAAACATTATGAAGGTTAATGGGAATATGTAGTAAAGATGCAAAACTGAAATTCATTAAATGTTATATTTAAAAACGTGTATTAAACAAAAAATATTGTGTGCATTATTTAAATAAGTGTGAAAATATAATTAACCTAAAATTAATTACAATGTGTATATCTTGAAATTTTCACTGTCTTTCATTGTGACTATTTTGTATTACTCATAGCCAAAGAACCAGCTGCTAACATTCATTCACTGCTGAATGGCAAACCAAGATTTTGTAAACACTGTGACATTGTTGTGCTCAGTGCTGGCATCCAAAAGAAGGCTTCTGAACTTCCCTATATTTCAAAAGATGAATTGGTAAGTGTTACCTCAAACACTGATATTAAAGGTTTTTCACATTTAGAGGCATTTCTATTTTAAATTGATGTTAATGATGGTTTAATTCTTAATGCTATAACATTTAGTATATGAAATATAAAAAAGCTAACTGAAAAATGAGTCACCTTTACAAAAAATGTAGATTGATTTCGTATCATGAATAAAACATGTACTTATTATTAAGGCTATTCATGCTTGTACTGTAGGGTATAATTGATAGGCACAGTGTAATTGTTTCTGTTTTTTCACAAGAAAGCAAAACAAAAATAATAATTGCTGTGTAAAATGAAAAACAGAATTGCATAAGTCATAATGTTAAAATAAACTGTTCTCCAACAAAAACTCTTTGTCTTCAGTATTTATTACTACTGACATGCCAAACAGTTGAATTACTGTTGTAGTGCCTATCACATAATCATCAAGCCTGAAATGATGGAATTCTAATCTGAATTGTATGTAGGTATGACCTACAAATAAGTAGTTGCTAATTCAGCAGTCATGGGTATGGGAAAACACTGTAGAACATTGCAGTAAATGTATATAAATTATTTTCCTGTTGACAGATACTTAAATATATCTAATTATTAGTTAGATTTTTAAAGGCATAATGTTTTGCGGTACAATTTGTGATCATACAGTAATTTTTGTGTTGTAGTTATAGTCTGAATTATCAGGCTATGTCAGTTTTTGATAAAGCAGCATACACTGATAATCAGTAACTTGAATGATTTTTATGTGAGAAAGAAGTATTCAATTGCTCACAGTAATGAAACTGACAGTACATAGATTATCCACTAGTAGATGGTTAAGTCTTTTAGCTTGTATAAAATTAAAGATGTTGTTGGTAATGAACTGACCCTCTGCAGTGTTAATAAAGTATACATATTCTTTGCATGTGTTAATTACATGTACATTATGCAGTTTCCATTTCAGCTGCTTTTGTGAGACATTTTAATCGATGTACTTAAGAATGATGTTCAGTAGGTGACGTTCTGAAGATTGTAGAAATGTTTTGTCATCTTAAGTCCACATCAAGTTGAGTAAAGCATTTCTACATGCTTAGATGCATGTGAATGTGGATGGGCTTATACCTTACAAAATGTATGTTTTAAATTAATAGTGGCTACCATGTATATATTACCCGTTTACAATGGTAAGAGTGTTTGAGTTTCATTACTAAGTTTTTTTTCTTGGAAAACTTTGTATGCTCATTAGTTGTAGTGTTTTTAATGAGAACTTCAAAGAACTCTAGCTTATTGTAATACTTCCATTTAATAATTATAAAGCAAGTAGTAAGATCAAGTTATGTTAGCTCCTGGAAAATAAATAAATTCATCCTTGAAAGTCATTGAAAAGTCCTAAAATTTTGTTCTTCAGTTTGAGTGTGAAATGGCAATAAATTTTGATTTTTTTATTCAGTAAGATATCCAAAACAATCTAAAAAGAAAATGGAGGTTTTATGTAATATGATCAGAAATAATAGCTTTTATATTTGAATGAAAACATACAAGTCCAAATTTATAATAACCCTTGTGTCAGTTTCCTGGCATTCATTTTAAAATGTTCATTACATGATGCCATTTAAACTTTTTTTTTTCCTGTATGTTTCAGTCACTTTAAACCTTTTTCTTGTCCATAGATTAAAGAAATATTCTTATACCATTTCAACTTTGTTAAATTTAATTTGGTACTTTAAGATGTTGGAACTTTTTAAAATAAAATTTATATTATTCAATGTACATTTTATTCAGTAATTCACCTTTACTTGATTTTTTCTTTATTACCAAAAGAATGATTACTCGTGATATCTTCCTCCCATCTAGGTTCATTTAATGTTCTTTAGGCAAATTTACTGAATATTCTAGTCTTTAGCTATGCTTTGAATTATGGAGGCTCTTTTATTTCTTTTTGTCAATAGAATAGTTACATTGTTAAATAATATTAGTTGGGGAACTTCAAACACACCTTGTTTTGTGTAAGCTTATTTTACAAAGTTATGAATTAAATATCCATTTATTTTTTCTTTTTACTGATTATACTTATTTTCTGTTATCCATTTTAGACTACCACACATGTAATGTGAGTTATATCCTTAACTTGTAGAATATTTTTTTTAGAGGTGGAATTTAATATTTTTCAGAGTATTAATTAATAGTTTTGTTGTGAAATGCAGGCAACTGGCTTCGAAATATTTTCTGTGATGCTGTAATAACAATGCAATATAAATATGTATATACATTTAAAACCTATTGAATTTATTTATTAACAGTGGTAACAAATTATAAAATTGTTAATGCACTATAGTATGAATTTAAATTGTTTTATAGGAAGAAGATGAAGTTATTTTCTGTAGCACCAACTGTTACATGCAGTTTGCTTTAATGCACCGATCACCATCGTCTTCAGAACAAAAGGTATATGTTGTTCATTGCACTTTTCTTATGTAATAGTTTAATTAATGTTACCCTTCTAGTTTGTTTTTTTGTTCTGTGTATGATGTAATATAAGAATTTCATTTTTTAAAATGGTACAAGCTGGATAATCTTAGTGTGTTTGGATAAATTGTGCTAACTTATGCTAAATCCACTGTATAATTTGTTGAACTTCTTGAGCTTCTTTTATTGGTTATAGGAGGCAGCTGCTGTGGTTAGTCATCTTAGTAATACTACCTTAACAGAAAGACATGCTAGTGCTGGGGAGAATAAAGGGGTCACCCTCTCATCAGAGAGCTGTTCTACACCTTTGACACCTACTGCTGTTGAAGGTGAAGCTGAAGCTCAGGCTAAGTTAACTTGTAAGAATATTCTCCAAGAATCAGATCTTCATCCAGATGATAGTGGACTAGACTTGTATGGGGCTGAGGAATCAGCCCCATCTGCTACTTCCCCCTTACCTGAAACAGAAAGAACAGAAGAAATGGAAGTTAGTCAGGACAGTGAGCACATTGATGGAATAACTGAGCAGGAGGGAGTGGCACATGAACAGGTGGGCTGTTTAGATGAAGAAACTACAAGTAGCTTCAGTTCTGAAATTTCAAGAGCTAGAAAACATCTTAGTATAGATCAACAACAGGTATGTATAGTGGTTTTACTTTATATATGTACAATATCTCAGAACTTGCAACAAATTACACAACAATTTGGTGGAGTAGTGTTTAGTCTTTAGAATTAAAGTTTATAATCCTAAGTTAAGAAAAACTTGTCTCAGAGAATATCATTCAGTACCATTAAAGTACTGTTCACAGATTAGCAATCTCCCCCCCCCCCCCCTCAAGGTTTTACTTATATTAGACTTATATAGTATTGCATCATAAAATTGAGATTGAAAAATTACTCAATGGTTTTAAATACCTATTGAAGAAAAAATCATTTTCTACCGTAATATGTATGTGTGTGTGTGTGTTAAGGTTTTGTGTATGAATTTGTTTAGATACACTTAGAGTAGTGGTACTGTCAGACTGTTGAATGGGGACCTAGGAACAATGTCACTGAGTTTTTTATTTGTACCCAATATTCATGTTATGAAAACATTGCTAGATCTGATGTCTCTTACCAGATAATTTAATCAGTTTGTCATTTTTGATCAGACCATTGGGCTCAAAGTGTCTTTTGTATTAGAAGTGTTTGGTAGGTATCACGTGTTGTGGAATAGGTTTAACCTTGCAATCATTGAGATGCCTTGCATGGCCATCAGATTTGTTCAAAACTGTGTTCCTAACCACATATGTGATTTGGTAGGTCGCTTAACTGTAGAGCAGCAGAAATGATCTTAACTGGTTTTACATTTTATAATCTTTGTTTATTTAACCCCAAAAGACTTTAGCCAGAAAAATATATGTGAAGCACAAGTTGTCCCCTAGTTTCTATATTAAAACTATTCCCTAAATCAGTGGGAATACTTTGTTATAATTACATCATTTTTATTTTTATAATATTAGTGTTTGATAAGTAAATGGAGGAACAGTAGTTGTCATTAGTGTAAATATGTAAATATCAGATTAAGGCTATAGTAAAAATAATCCTTTGAAACCCATTAGCATGATTACTAGTTAGCCAAAGTTATGTTAAACCACATAAACATAATTTCATTTCTTAAAAATAAGATCACAAGTTGTTTTCTAGTTGCCATGAGATTATTCAGTTATATGAAAATATATGTATTACAGTAAACCATTGCTAGAGATGACAAAAAAAAACTTGCTGGTAGGAAGAGACTACATATATAAATGTTCAGAAACATAAAAACCTTCAGCACACTAATTACAGAAGAACAACCACACAATACACAATTATGAGAAAGACCAATTTCTCCTAAAGCTAGCACTCTATTACTTTCCTTCCTTTGGTTATTTTATTTGTCCAAGATACACCTGTGATGTTTATTTCTATCAGAGTGTAGATAATACGAAAAAAAAAAAAAACTTTAAAAGCAGAATCAGTACTTTTTTCTTGCTTTCACTCTACATCTTAATAATAATAGAAAATGTAGCAAAACTTTTTTTTGGAAAAAAAAAAAGAACTGTCATAATTTCTGCAAATTTATATTCTCAAATGTGTTATTTCATGATTGGGATAATCAAAATACAAATTTTCAGTCACCCAGTAAGCTAGTGAAAAACTACTGGAGAAAAACTATGCATCATATGTTATTAATATCAATGAAAATGTAGTTCATGTGCTTACTTTCTAAATACCACAATGATGTTTACAAAATATATATTTTCATCACACTTTATTAATTTGCACTTTCTTTCTAAGATTAATTTTCTATGTATTCAGAACTGTTAGTATTAGACCTAGAATTGGCTGGCTTTTAATGTTTTTCTTATTAAACTCACAAATTTACATCTCAAATTGGATTTTGTAGAGTTTATACATAATTTTTATTTATGAAGTAGTAACTCACCCATTAAGAACATTGTCCTTCAGGTTATCCATATTAGTCAACATTTCTTCATGTAACATTACAAAAGGTTTCTCTTGTTTTGCAGGATTCTGAACCTCTTCCGAAAAAATGGCATGGCTTGCGATGGAAATTGTGGAATGAAAGTTATGCTTCTTCTCCAAAGTACAAAAGTCCATCCGAAGAAGAAGTTGGACAGGTAAATATAGTGACCCAGAATAAAACTGAAGAACCAGTGAAAACTCTCTCATAAAGGTTTATTAGTGTGCTTTGTTTATTCTGAGAGTTAGCTATACAATCTCTAAAGGAGTGTTTTTTATTTGTCTTTATGGAAGAGTGTATATGTTGCTGTTATGAGGACATACGAGTCAAAGTTTGGTGTTTCTTTAGCTGTAGGTTGTAAATGTGACTGTTTCCACCAATGATCATTAATTGTATGGGATATTTCACTTTTAACAATTCACTGCCAAGCTGGCAATTCACATAAAACCCTGCCTGCATATGTAGGATGTAATTAAAATCCAATTTCCATTCTACAGCAGTGCAGTCATTGTCAATTTCTCTTAAGCATAAGTCATACTACACCTACAATTTAAAAAGTCTTGCTTATTCTGGTCAGTGACCTGAATACTCCTAACAACACTGATTAACCAGTAAATGCTTTATAGCTTGACCAAATAATTAACTAATTACAGTGGTCGAGTTTAAAAAGAGCTCAGTGTTGCTTAGTTGCTACTTAATCTCTCCACGTGGCTCTGGCTTTGAATGGATTGCTACTAACTATGTGATTTAAGTAATCACAGCATAGTGAATTGTAAAAATTTTTTAGTAGTCTTATGGTTGATGAATGTATTAAATGATGCCCACATACATGTAATGCTACCTATAATTATGAATTTTGTACAGCACCAACTTTATCTTTCACTCAGTTTTAGTATTGACATATATTAGCAAACTAAAGCATAATTCTATTTGGTTTGGAAAAATACACCATTGTGAAAAACATTTTGTTCATCTAACTTTGCTTTAGACTTTGTCGTTCTCTTTCTTTCAAATGCACAATTGTGGAGATTATGTAAACTAATGAAGAAACTCCTTTTGCTGGTTGAAATCATAGTGCTGTACATACTATTTTGTATGATAAATATGGGGTTTAATTTTTTGTTTACTGAAAATACAGCACTTTAAGTACTTGTTTATATTAAGTAATAGGTTTCTGTTCTCTGTATGAAAGTACAACATTGTGAAAACTTTTGTTAGCTGTGGACAGGTTTTTTGTTTGCTTATTAAAATTTTATACATCATTGTGAAAACTTATGTAAATTATTCTGTTTATGTATTATTAAGTACTGTATTATTAAGGCTTGCATAAACATTAGAGTATTTTATTTTGCCTGTTTAAAGTACAGATTAACTGGTACAGCAGTAAGGTTTTGATTGTGGTAGAATTCTACTTTTCAAAATTTATGTGAGGTAGTGATTATTTTGTCAATACCACACTAAAGCAAAATATATATGCATAGTAAAATATTTTAAATTGTGCAATTAAAATTGTGCTTGGTGTATAAATTATGAAATTGAGTTAAATTTTATCATATTTCAAGTTTTATGAAGTTTACATTACATAGATTGTTTCAGATTACTAATTTAAAAGTTGATAGTTTTTATTTCATTAGAGATGTATTTTAAGTAGAGATGTATGGCAATAGTTTTTTTTGGTATGTTGTCATTGCAAATAAAGTCTTGACTTAAGTTCATCACTTATCTGAACATTACTTCTTAATCTAATTATATCTTGGTTTTATAGGCTTTGGATAGTATATCAATATGTGTTAAGCCAGACAAGTTACCAAGAGATGAAAGAAAATGTGTTTTGTGTCATGAGGTTGGTGATGGAGATACAGAAGGCCCAGCTAGGTAAGAAAAGTTTCTCTAATGAAATACTTGTTATTTGTAGGTTAACATCAGGATACTCTTGTGTCTATTCTTCAGGTAATACTGTTTTTAGTTTTGCACAGACATTGTTGGTGACTTTACTCTGAAATGAAGTTTTGTAAATTTCAGAAGATAAAACTTCCTACAAATAGTAAAACATATATAATTCTTTCTACACAGTTATCTCGTACTATTTTTTAAACATTTACCAAGTTTCATGCAGTTTAATTCAGTATTTATTTTTTTCTTTTCTGTTTACCAGGTATTTTGAGTTGATGTACCTCAAAAGCCATAGTGTTAAAGTAATAAATTATATAATAAAATATTAACTTAAATTCTGTAACGTTTTGTTCATTGGGCTTGCTTTGTACATTTAGCTGGTCTTCAAAAATACATTTTGCATACTTTATGCTTTCATTTCTGTGGTTCTGGAAAAAAATTAATTGTTATTATATCTTTTAATATTGACAGTAGTAATAAAATAATGTGTAAAGGAGGGTAATGACTTATTACAAGAACTTACTTCACATCTGACTTTTAAGGTTTAAGGTATGTATCATTGTTAATACCAAAAGTTTTCATATACATGTAGAATAGTGTAAAAGATGATGCAAGATATAATTATTTCAGATATCATGTCATAGACTTGAGAATTTAAAGAGTATTTAAAAAATTGATACTGTAACTATTCATTTTATTTAAAGCAGTACAGAATTTCTAAAATATACATTGTACAGAAATATATATTTTTAACTGAAACAATTTAATTATATTAGGTCGTCAATAAATTGTTACTTTTTTTAGATGAAAAAACTCGAACAACTTTTATGTCAAAACAAAACATTTATTAAATGAAATAGTCTCCATTCATATCGATGATGCTTTTCCATCTTACAGTCAGGTTGTTAATGCCCTGATTAAAGAAATCACTTGGCTTTGAAACAGAAAATGTCCTCTTTAACACCTTCCACTTTGCATACGTTTTCCCATTAATATGATGTTACAGCGAACGAAAAAGATGGTAATCTGATGGGACCATATCTGGAGAATATGGTGGTTGAGAAATAACTTCTCATCCCAACTCCATAATCTTGTGTTGCATCAAACGTGCCACATGTGGACGTGCATTGTCGTGAAGAAGAACACCACCTTTCCGATTGACGAGTGAAGGGCGTTTTTGATGAAGGACTTGATTTAAACGTTTCAGTTGCTGACTATAGATTTTTACATTGACAGTTTGCTGTGGATTGAGGAGTTAGAAATGAATTACTCCTTTGATGTCCCACCAAATACAAAGTATCACTTTCGGCGGATGGAGGCCAGGTTTTGGGGTCAGAAGCGGTTTTTGTCTAGGACTGAGCCATTGTTTGTGGCATTTAATGTTTGCATAGAGAATCCATTTTTTACACATTGGAAACGATGATCATCAGAAAGTTTGTGAGGCACCCAAACACCTTCCTTAAGGAGTTTTCCCATATTCCTTAGATGTTCATGAGTGTGTTGCCTTTGGTTACACTCAACAAGCGTCTTCAAAGCATCAATATTAATTCCAACATGTCGGCTTCTGCCATCACAGTTTTTAAGGCTAAAGTCACCTGAACAAAATTTGCTGAACCATTGTTGACAATTACGAACGTTCAAAACATTTCCATAAACTACTTTGATATTCTTTGTGGCTACAAAGGCGTTGTTTCCCTTCTTGTATTCAAACAGCATTAAATGCTGAATGTGTCTCATCATGTGCCATCACGATAAGGGAGTAGAATATACTAAACTTTACACATTATATAGGCTACACCAACGTGACGATTGGGCAGTTCATTTAACTATTATACATGATGTACGTTTTTTGGGGGGTGGTTAATGAAAGTGTTTCAAAATGCGATATTAATTTCGCAACCTAATATTAACCTCTCTGGACATTGAGAACCTTTCAGATTTCAAATGCACACCAACATATTGAATTTTAAAATTCAAAAAAAAATTATAATTCTTAAGTATTTTATGATTGATATATTGTCACATTTTAGCATTTATTTAACGTAATTTGTAAAGGCATATGAAAACAAAACTTCAGCAAAGTTACATTTCTGTGCAGCTCCATGTAATCATGCTTTAAAAAATACAAAAACAATTATCAGTATTTATTAGAAATTTTCTGCCCATCTCAAACTATAGGTTTATCATAAATACTGTAGTACTTTTTGTAGGAATGGGGTGGATACACAATACATGTGATACAAACTGTTTACTCATATACAGTACACCTTTAACAACCAAATAATATACCTTCAAAAGTATTTGAGAGACACCCTAGGTGATAAACAAACCACATCAAAATTACAAGTCATAGAACCACTTGTCAAAGTCAGAAGAGCAGATACAAAAACATTTGTAAAATGACAAGTTTCTCAATCTCACTGACTGACTGACATTGTTGAATGCTGTGTAACAAACAGACTTATCTTAGTTATAAGTATACCAAATAGGACAATAGCACATGGACCACATGCTAGTGCTAGCGTTTTTCTATACTAAACATTGCCAAAAGGATGCCATCTTAAAACGTGTGGTCAAATGAAACAGTGAAGGTGGTGTAGACTCCTAGATTTACAGCAGTGTGACAAGATCTGGAAACTGTGAGTAGTATAGGGTAGGCCAGCACAGGGTAGCCTTGAGAGAAGCTTCACTATCTAGAATAGAAGACAAGCTATGCTCTTGCAAGTAATTTATAATACATATTGTAAATTAAATCAAGTTTGCATTTATAAAGCATTTAATACATAATGTGGGAGTCTACAACTAGTTCAAATTGGCACAACCAGTCTTTGCTGCATATAAACCTTGGTTAGAAAGTGTTGTTTCCAGTTTTTTGTCATGAAAAATTGAAAAGTTGAAAGTGTTACAAGAATTTTTAAGGTGAACTCTGACTGCAAAGCTGAATCAGTCAGCTTTTTTGGATGGGCAATCATACACTACAGGTGAACTATTTAATATATCAATTATTTTGTTGAGCTTGAGGTGATCACTAAATTTTTCTTTTTGGTTAAACTAACATTGCATCCATTTCATCTGGTTTTCTTCCATTTCTGCTTAACCCGTTACCTGCTGTGGCCATTTTGTCTTATTGTGAGGGCAAAATCACATTTGTGAATTGAAAAAATTATAGAGAACTTATCTTTTATTGGATTTCAGATTTTATTTTTGTAAATAGCAGCATGACATTCAGTTATTTATACAAATTGAATTATTTAATGAAGTTTAAAAAGGAATTTAATGAAAAAAATTCTAAAATACATTTGAGAGTGTAAATAAGTGCCCTCTAAGAAGAAAATTTTTTTTA